TCTACATCTTTACATGCCTACTAATAAAAATAAGACTGAAACTGATCTCATATGTAATCTATAAGCAACTGAATGAGTGACTTTACTTCTATTAACATAATAGTTTATGTTAGTTTCTAAATTTAAATGGAATGATAAACAGCTTATCTTAAAGATTTCTGTAATCAAAATAAGTCTGTTGCTAGCCTCCTTCAAGAAAAAATAGTTATCAACTGAAAATTCACTGAATCAATTGTTGTACATTATTTACATAGGAATGCAGAGCAGCTAGAAGTCATATTTCCTAATAAGTTAAAAAGTTTGATAGAAATGTGAATATGAGGTACTCAAATAAGTATAATGACACTAGCTATACCAGGAATCCAGAGGATAATTTGCCATGTTATAAGTATGCTGTGAAAAGCTGTTACTGGGAGATAGGTTGAAATGCACAGATCGTTTAATTCCTTAATGGATAACTCTAGAAGAATTCCACTGAAACTTGTTCCTATCTTGCTGTGTATGTATTTTCACAAATAGATGAGGTATATTCAAAGTTAGTTTGGTAAATTTTATGACTGCTTAAAAATAAATGATGAATATAATGAGGAATACTAATAGACATGGTTGAAGATATCTTTCCTCTATCTATGTCTATCTCTATCATCTATATCATCTGTAACTATATCTTATCTATATATAATTTTATATCTATATATCTGTGTATCTAGATATAAATGCAGATATCTATCTAGACATAGATATATGCTAGATATAGATATATCTAGATATTCAGATAGATATAGAGATACATAGATATTATAGGAATAGATAGATGAGAAGGAGAGAGACTGACTCAAGAAAGTACTACCAAGATAGGCTACCAAGGAATGCTAAGATACTGGTTTCCCAGAGAAATGTACAACAATTGTTTTTCCACTATCAGTCCTGTAAATAAGATACACACACACACACACACACACACACACACACACACAAATATATGGCCCTCCATGGCCTCTGCATCAGCTCTTGCTTCCTACCTGCTTGAGTTCCAGTCCTGACTTCCTTTGGTGATAAACAGCAGTGTGGAAATATAAGCTGAATAAACCCTTCCCTCCCCAATTTGCTTCTTGGTTATGATGTTTTGTGCTGGAATGGAAACCCTGCTAAGACAAATGTCATAGAAGATAAAAACACATTCAATCAAGATTTTAAAACATTCAGATAAAGACATGGTAGTCATATTTTATAAACTTTTGTTTACAGTCTGATTATCAAGGAAACTTTGTATCTGAGTTGCATATAATATATAAACTGTTTTCTTTTCTTTTGAAAATTTCCATATCACATTTTATAACAGATTCTTTCATAAACTATCTGCTAAGTATTAGTCAATTTAAAATGACTAATCAACTTAAAATAAATTAAATTTTTAAAATTGCAATATTTTATTTTGGTCCAGAAAAACCTGTTATTGTTATCTTGTTAAAACAAGGCTGAATTTGCTTATTTATCATATGTTAAGTATATTTTAACTAATTTAAAATTTATAAGTTGAGCGTATTAATGTGGTAGTATGAGAAACTTCAGTACACACACACACACAGACACACAGATACACACACACATACACACACACACACATACACACACTCATGCACGTACCTATCATGTTGAATGTATCTACTTATTTTAATTATTACCATTGCTTTCTTAAGCTAACAATCTAAAAATTTTGTTCATATTTTTTAGGATATTAAAATAATGTTAACTTTAGCAACCCTATAAATTATATAAACCCAATAAATTATGGCATTCTTTGAATTGTAAGTTCATTCACAATGACAACTATCCTTAACCCTCTAGTCAAGTAGCTCTATTTTGTGTATAAGAATTTAGTTCTATTTGGGATACCCAAATAGGAAATATTAAAAGCACAGGACTGGAATAATTTTACAATAAGTATCTTTTGTGTGTGTGGCTTTCTGAGCATCTTGCCAAGTATTATGTTATGCTGATTCAGTTAAGAATCCTATCTACTTTTAAAAATGGAAAAAGCACTATTCTCAAGGGCACTTTACGATGTTTAAAAGCTGTGAATTCTGTGTCTGCAAAACATTAGAAAACAAGCGATTAAAAAATAAAAATTAAAACCAACAAAACTCTAATGATTTATTCATGAAAACCTTTCTCAAAACACATCTACAAATGGAATTCTTAATTCACAGTCATGAATTTTTTCATGTCTTTAACGTTTTAAAACCTGTATATCAAGAAAGGTGACATACTGAGTAAAGGTGATGAAACAAAGCTACATCTCAATATTATATGTAGAATTTCAATTTGTTATGCAAACAAAACACCATCAAAATATGTTGAGTATACTTTTAAGAAAAGTGTGGAGAATTTTGAGACATTTTTGATAAGTCTATTATGCAAATTTTCTACTGAAGTTGCATAGTAGTGTTCCCAAAATGTATTTATTCCCTCAAATGTTAGCAAATTTAAGGAATTAAAGCATGTTTTGTACTATTGAAACATGAAGTGTCTTTGAGAAACTAAAACATAATAATCAACAGATTATGGATGCATCAAAGATAAGTTGAAAGCCCTATTGAAATTTAGAGGTTTTAATAATGATATTATAATATAAATATGTCCAGAGAAGGAGGGGAGGCAAGGAGGCAGAGGGGGAGAGGGAGAGGGAGATGAAGTGGGGAGAGGGAGAGCATTAGAGTTAAGAAACCTATTAAAGGAAAATAATGGGTTGGTAAAAAAATAAGATTATAAAATTAGCATGATAGCAAAATAAATTTTGGTCCAATGCAATGCCAACAAAACTAATCATACAACATTGTTCACAGAAACAGGGAGAGAGATCCCTAGAATTCATAGATCAAGATAACTAAAGCCAACCTAAGAAAAAGAACCAATGCTAGAGGGATTACCATATCAGATTTTGTTCTATATTACTACCTAAGTATATTATCTTGGTATTTTCATTGCTGAATGTGCTGCATTATCTGTCAGTTGACTACAAGAATAAACTCTCATCCTGATATAAGACCACCACTACTATCACAAAATGGAAATGTCTCCTGTTAAAGAAAGAATGGGTGTTATGTGTCTTAAAACACTAAAGAGTCATAGGACACTTACGGAGCTCAAAAAATTATAAAATGAACCAGACAGTCCCCATCCTCAAACATATCAAATCAGTAAATAACTTCTTAATAGATGAGATTCTGGAAAAACTGCATGCAAATTGATTAATGGGTTCCAGAAACACAGCTTTGATGAGTTTCCACCCATAAAGGATGGCTCTCTCAATGACAGACCAACCTTCGTTGTCACCCATGCTTCCGTAACTACTGCTTCTCCAAGCTAGACTTACATGGATATGTTAATTTGATTTATGGATGATGCCCTATCTGAAATGTTTTTCCAGGTGTCTCTTGGAAAAGTCATGCAACAAAATTATATACCCACCTTTAGAAATGCTCATCATTAATAATTAAACCTTTCCTGTCATTTCAAAGTCAGCTTCTCAATTTCTTTTTTAAACTATGCTGTGCATATTTATTAATCTATATTTGCACAGCTACACTCTTTCCCTTACATGTATTACTTTCTATGGTTCCTTCTATGTTATAAAAAAAGGATCATTAGGTTTGTACTATCAATAAGTGGTACTAACATGTCAGTAATATCCAACAGCTGATGGATATTCAAGATTATGTAAATCATGCCTGGCCAGATTCCCAGGGCCAACTAATTAATAAACCTTACAAAAGAATCTACTACTGCTCGTTCGTTCGCTAGACCAGCATAATTTCTTAGTACATTCTAAATCTTATGTTCACTCTCCCAGATTAAATGAGGCTGCTATCTTTCATTAAAAAAGACTCTATTTTCCAGAAAAAAAAAATGGAGTCCATCCAAGATACCACAACTGGACACAAGGCATATGTAAATAGATAGTAGAGATTTCTGTCCCAAACATCTATAGTATAGTTCCTGAACTTATAGCTCAGGGATCACATCAGAAAAGGAGGTAGAAAGATTTTAAAAGTCCAAGCCCCAGGAAGTCTACTGTGAAACATACTCTCCTGGAAATTGCTGAATAAACAGGAACAGAAAAATGGAAATCGCAAAAGACATATTAACATAGAAAGAAAATATTCCATGGAGTCCCACACTTAGACAAAAATTATAGGCAACTGCTGGGAGAATAAGTTTGTTCTTATTGAGTGCTCAGCACTTGAACTATATATACAAAAACAATAAAAACAGAAGCTGCATATTACTTACCTATTTGGGCATATCCATGTATATAAATATACATATACATGTAAATACAATAATCAAATATGATATAAAATTCAGAGTAGAGGAGTATACAACAGCCTGGAGCAAGATTACCTGAGAAGACTTGGAGGGAGGAAAGGGTGGGGGAAAATGTAATTCTATTTTGATTTAAAACATTTTTAAAAATGAAATGAGTTTGTTGATGACTTAATAATTACATATCACCTGTTATCATATTGGAGCCTGGAATCCTTGAAGTAGATTTTGTTACTTTCACCCTCTCTCAAATCTCCCAGACTATGATCTACATTAAAAGACTTTCTCAGGAAGATTATCATTGTATGTTTTTTGATGAAAGTCATCCATAGCAATTCAAAAGACAGTAATAAAATAAGTTTATTTGACCACATAAAATCTCTGATGGTTTATACATCATAATCTACTCCAACTTTATGAACTAGTTACAATATCTACAGTGACATACTGATACATCTTTTTGAAATCCAAATAACTTACAGTAACAACTAAGTAGAATACCTTTTTAGTGCTTAGTCTATGGAGTTAGCTTCATGAACCAAATGCAATCCTGGACAATTGGCTTTTGACCATGATTAAACTGACAAACATAAAACAAAAACAAAAAACCCAGCAAAATAAAACCAAAAACCAACAAACAAATTAAAAAATGGACTCAAGAATAGAATATTTGATGCCCTGACAGTTGGCAAAGAGATACTTTGTTGGAGTATTGTTCTTATATCAGGCAGAGGCAGAGCATATGGAAGTTCTTTGTTCTTCCTAGCTAGATGTCTGGCTTGGTAGCCAAAGCTGTTTTATACCTAGGACACATAAAAATCAATTCTAATCAAATCTAGACAGTGCATCATGGAAGGAGGAAGAAAGAGACCTGTGGAATGTTCTATAGTGTACTGCACAGAAAGGTCATAGACACTTGCTTTGCTGACATGTCACATAACATGGATGGAGGATGTCACCCAGGGGTCTGCCAACCACATAGTCTACCTACAGCTAGAGCCACCGAAATATGTAAGAATTGGCTGGTCAGATGGGAGAGAAAGAGAAGTGGAGCAGCTTGAACATTATGAGGAAAAAATGGAACAGGAGACTCGAGGATGGAGAGGAGTAGCCAGTTATTAGTTGCCAGCCCTGCCACCTAAGGCCATGGTGACATCACAGCTGGAGCTGCCTCTGTCTGCCATGTCTAGTCCATAGCAATACAGCAATAGGAGTTAGTGTCAATGTCTTTGACTCATATTACATGAGAACATAAAATGTCCTTGTTCTGGGCAACAGCCAGGATCACCTGGATATCCAAGGTCTTTGCAGAACTGGACCTATCCCTCACTGGATGTGGTTCTCTGGAAAGTTGGTACTATTTCTTACCACTGGCAGCACTCAAAAGAGTGGACCCTGAGCCTTGCCCAGGCAGCAGAGTACAACTATCCCTGATAGCAGGAGTATGGCTGAGCCAGTCAGAAGGGCATGAGTGTGGACAAGCTGACCAAACACTTATCTGCTGTGAGGTGGCCCTGGGGAAAGATCCCTTGCCATGTCCAGAAGAATGGAAATCTACCTACAGGGTCATGAGCTAGAGAGCTGTACCTGCCCACTGTCAGCTACATCCCTTGAGAAAGGAGATCCTGTAATTTCACTGGGCAGCATAGGAGATCAAGGGGTTCGGGTAAACCAGTTCCCAGAGTGAAAACTTGGGAAAGGTGTCCCTGAAACTCATTTGCTGTGGGTGGCATTGGTGTAAGGTTGATTCCCTACCTCCCAACCTCTCATCGTCTAACACAGTCAACAGAGCTGGCCCTGTTGTCCCTTACTTGCATCAGAACCCAGGAGAGAGGGATTCCTGTACCTCCACTGGGCAGCATAATAATGCTAGCCCTGATCAAACAGGTTGTATGATCCAACTTTGTAGAGGAGAATAAGGGAGAGTTGGTCCTCCCACTTCTCTGCCATTTTGTAGTGTGAGTATGGATGCCTGTTTTAGTTGACAGAGCTAGCCCTGGACTCATGAGAGTATATGAGCTGATTCTTTCCCTTATTGGATACAGCACTTTGAAGAGTTAGCTTTCAAGTCCCCTAGGAAACAGAGTAGAACTGACCCTGGTGGAGGTGTCACATATGAGCTGGCTCTCAGGTGAGAACTCAAGAGAGCTATTTCTACCAATCTTCTGCAGTGAGGTGATGTGGGTGTGGCAGTGATGTCCTCCCCTCTCCCTCCTTGCAACCTGTAGTAGGGAAGAGATATCCCTCACTGCATGAGAACTGGAGCGCTAGCCCTGCCTCAGTGGCATGAGCACTCAGGAGAGCATGCCTGTACTCACCAGGGCAACACAGTGAAGCTGGACCTGCAAGAAAAGGCACAAGTGAGCCAACTCTGAGGATGTAAAAGCAGAAGGGCTGTCCCAGCCCCTCATAGGCTGCAGCACTTTGAAGACTGGGCCCTGTTCCTTGACTGGAAAGTATAGTGAAGCTGACTCTAGAGGTGTGGGTGTGAGTGAGCCACCCTGAGGGCATGAGAAAAGGAGAGCTGACCCTACCTCTTGCCAATAGTGACATTGGGTGGTATAGCTAGAGCAGTGCAGAAGTGTTTACCCTGGTGATGCGGGTGCAGGTTAGCTGATAGGCGGGCCAACTCAGTGATCACCCAAGTAAAAATTCAAGGCTCTGAGATGGCCCACCTCAGCATCTATATCATCCTTGAGTAGTTGGGGTTTGCTAAAGGGCCAGTCCTGCTCTCCCAAAGCTGCAGGATCTCTATAACAGTGTAACAAAAGGATAACTGGGAGGAGTCTTCATAATGATCCATTACTGATGGTGTCACAGAGATCTTAAACCAGACGAGTGACTTGCTGCAATGAACATTTACAAGTAAAAATGTGTGGACAAAGGGATATACTGTGGGACACACTGTGACACTACACCTTCCATGATGAGTTGTTTTCTTATGGTGTGTGTTTGTGTGTGTGTGTGTGCACACGTGTGTGTGTGTGTTTTATTTGGGGGGAGACTGCAATGTTGAAGGATGAAATTGAGGCGTTGGGGGAGGTGAATGGCACTGGGGTGGATGATATGAAACTCACAAAGAATCACTAACAAGTTTAAAAAAATAACTTTGTAAGTAAAAAAAAAAAACAGAGTATTTGGAAAACAGTCAACTCAGGTGCTAAGTTTGAGAGAACAGCTTCTACTATTATTTTTTTCTAAGTGTTTGTTGGATTGGGATATCTGATAAGAAGTTTCTGCTTTCAGGCCAAGTCACTCAAAGGAGAGCCACTCAGAGTCGAAACGTTAAAAATAAGCTGATCATGCCCTTGGCTTCTAAACCTCCACAGGAAATTGGATTCTTGGCTGTGTCATTGAACTTAGTTACTGACAAGGACTTCTTGTGTGTTCATTCTTTGTGGTTCAGAAACTGTCACACTTTTGTATAGGAAAAAAAGAAAGAAGTAAAATAAAAGAGAAAAGAAAAAGAAAGAAATATCAACCATCAAAAGAAAGTCATGAATAGAATGATAATAAATCAACTTGAAGAAAAGTCATCTCAATATTAATATTGATAATTAGTATCAGTGTTAAATACAAATGTGGTTTAACTCTTTCTCAGCATGATTATGCTGAAACTTTATTGTAGGTTATTTGCAAAAATTAAATATGTTTATGTTACTTTTGTCAAGTACCTTATAACATAACACATACTTTTTATTTTTATGTGTTTTTGATACAAACACCAAATGGATTGTAAATAATACAGGTATTTCAAACACATATTTTTATTAATTAATTTACTTTTATTCACCATTCCTGCTTCAGTTTTTACTACTTAGCTGTATATTCAGAATATACTTTTTTCCATTTTATTGAAAATAGATTCCTTCTCATGCAGGACATCATGATAAAAGTTTCCCCTCCCCCTTCCTCTCCCATTTTCTGCACCTCTCTGTCCTATCCCGGTCTACTTATTTTTTTTCTGTTTCTCATCAGAAAAAAGCAGACTTCTAAGAGATAACAGAACATTATGAAATAGAGTATAATAAGATTTTAAAAAACATAATTTTTTTTGTGTTTTGCTTGAGTACACTAGCTGAAGAAGAGATGAAGTTTTAAATATTTTCTTTTCTTATTATAATGTTTACATGTATGTGCCACAGCATGTATACAGAAGCCAGACCACTTCTACATGACCTTGGTTTTCTCTTCCTCCTTATAGAAATTGCAATGACTAAAATCAGGTCTCCAGGTTTTAATAGTTAATTTCTTCAACACCTGATTCATCTTGCTATCCCAAGATATTAGTTTTTCTTAAACACATCTCTATTTTGTATTATTTTCGTTTAGTAAGAACTTTTAATCTTCTCATCTTCTATTATTTTACATTAATTGGTTTTTATAGGAAGAGGTTTTTTTGCTATTTGGTACATATAATTCAAGACATATCATTTCATACTTTGAAAACTATAGACCATATTTATGATTAATTCAAAATTTATTTTAACATTTTAAAATGTGGTTTGATTAATGATAGGACTAAACCTTTTACATGCTTCAACAATTCATAGATCAGGTAGATATTGGGATGGTTCAACTCAGTGCTGTAGATTTGGGTCTGCATGGTAGCTGAGTTTGTTGGCCTATGAGCTCTCCTGCACTACACCAACAGGGTGAGCTTCCTAGCACTGCAATTGCTAACTCACCCAATGTTTCAGGCAGCAAGGGCTGGGAGCTGGCTCACTTGCCTGTAGTGTGTTGGCTGGATGTTGCTTGTATTTTAATGCTAATTTGTCCTCCTCAACTGGTTGCTCCAGAGATGAGAGAGTCCACACTGCAGAGGCTAGGTAAGTAACTCTGCACACAGTTAATTGTAATTGCCAAATAAAGATACCAACAGCCAAATGCAGGCAGTAGAGTCATAGATTGGGTTTAGGTTTCCCAGGGTTTGGACCACAAGTAAAAAGAATGTACCTGAGAGGAAGAAAGACAAGCTACCATGGGTTAAGCGTCAAGAGCCTTGACAGCAGCTCAAATGGAGTTAAGACCAGCCCAGATTGAATATAGCAAATACTAAGTAATAACTTGAGGTTATTGATAGGAATGTTGATTCTAACAGCACGAGGGATAGGCATTGGCCCAACTGTTGCGCTAATTAAAACTTGTAAATATAAAGGCTGTGTTATGAGTGTCTTTTATCCAAGAATTGAACTACCAAAGGCTGTGTAGAAACCCTGGGGGATATTTTTTATTATTTAATACTACACCTGTCTCTTCCCCATGAAAGCCAGCTCTACTGTGCATCTCAGGTAAGATGCAGGGCTCACTCTCACTAATGCTGCAGCCAGCCAGAGATGATACCAGCTTTCCAAAGTGCCACAACTAGTAAGGGAAGTATTAAGAGAAGCATTGATCTGTAGATATAGATCATTCATTAGAAGTCATTTTATTGATTTATTTCTCAGAAAAATGTTGCAGTAGGTTTTCCCATCGAGAATATTTCATATCTATATTCAGATTTCAGTTTCAACAACAATGTCAGGCTTAACTTTCAACCCATTGTGCAGGTCTTAAATCTAATAAAAAAAGGGGTTGATCACTTCCATCATATGCATGATGTTATTTCACCAGTGGGGATATCATGTCATTATTACAACTACCAGGGATCATAGTTGGTTGATATTACTTTATTCCTCTGCATCGTCCAGCACCATGAATACTAGCCAGTTAAGGTAAAACTTCAGGTTGAGTGACAGCTATAATTCTTTATATGCTGCAACATATTTGGCATCTTTAGCAGTAAGTTCCATCTTCAAGTTGTGGAAGTTAAACAA